TAGCAGTGGACGAATGTTTGAGTCATATTTGCTCAGTTTTGCTTTTCAGTATTTGCTCTTCAAGCATAATTTAAAGCTCCCCTTTAGTCATGTTGCTAGATCAGGATTTTCTATTTTAATTAGTGTTGCGAAAAATTCCAGCGCGAGAGTAACTATGACAATGCACTTACTAGTATTCGGTGGGAATCCTTTTGGTTTTGAAACTCAATGTTTTATTTAGTTAATCAAAGTAGTTACAAGGATTCCGCGGCATAAGACCGTGAACACCATCTCATGGGAGATAAAACCATGCATTACTAGGCTTTTCAAGGCGCAGTTTAGAATGTGGCGCACATCCATATGTTCCATTTGATAAACTGCAGTCCTTTTGTCTATACTATGGGCGTCCGTCAATCTGACACGTTGGATGCAACGTGTTGGACGGGCGGGTAGCGCTCTTAGCGAAGGGGTGCACCCTGTTCTAGGCGGGGTGGGTGGTATGTAGCGTCGGGCGTAAGTCCAGGGGGCCCGAAAACCTCCGTTGCCAGCTGATATTAGAAGTGCACCATTTTTGTGTCATAGTTGCTCTATTTTGCTTTTCAGTATTTGCTCTTCAAGCATTGTAGAAAGCTCTTCTTTCGTACTTCAAATTCATTCTGTCACGTTCACGGTTCTCGACCCTAAACACTCATCATTCACACTTCAGCCTCACGAACTCTATCACATAATCATTTATCCTCCCGCATACTCTTGTGTAGTGAAATATTACCCCATTAGGATTTTCAAGTTAAAGTAGTGTTGCGAAAAATTTTCAACGCGAGAATAAATATTACCCCGTTAAGATTTTCATGTTTAAGTAGTGTTGCGAAAAATTTTAAACACGAGAGTAAATATTACCCCGTTAGAATTTTCAAGTTTAAGTAGTGTTGCGAAAAATTTTCAACGCGAGGGTAAATATTACCCCGTTAGAATTTTCAAGTTTAAGTAGTGTTGCGAAAAATTTCCGGCGCGAGAGTAAATGTGACTATACACTGACTAGTATTCGGTGGGAATCCTTTTGGTTCTTATTTGATGAAATTAGTTACAAGGATTCCGCGGCATAAGACCGTGAACACCACCTCATGGGAGATAAAACCATGCATTACTAGGCCTTTTCAGGCACAGCCATAGAGTACGGAACATTTAAGTATGTTGCATCCCATACGCTAAGCTGTCTTAAAGTCCTTTTGCCTATACTATGGGCGTCCACCACTCGAACACGTTGGATGCAACGTGTTCGATGGGTGGGTAGCGCTCTTAGCGAAGGGGTGCACCCTGCCTGGGCCTAGAGCCTTAAACAGGCGGGGTGGGTGGTATGTAGCGTCGGGCGTAAGTCCAGGGGGCCTAAGAACCTCCGTTGCCAGCTGATATTAGCAGTGGACGAATGTTTGAGTCACATTTGCTCAATTTTGCTTTTCAATATTTGCTCTTCAAGCATAATTTAAAGCTCCCCTTTAGTCATGTTGCTAGATCAGGATTTTCTATTTTAATTAGTGTTGCGAAAAATTTCCAGCGCGAGAGTAACAATGACGATGCACTTACTAGTATTTGGTGGGAATCCTTTTGGTTTTGAAACTCAATGTTTTATTTAGTTAATCAAAGTAGTTACAAGGATTCCGCGGCATAAGACCGTGAACACCATCTCATGGGAGATAAAACCATGCATTACTAGGCTTTTCAAGGCGTAGTTTAGAATGTGGCGCACATCCATATGTTCCATTTGATAAACTGCAGTCCTTTTGCCTATACTATGGGCGTCCGTCAATCTGACACGTTGGATGCAACGTGTTGGACGGGCGGGTAGCGCTCTTAGCGAAGGGGTGCATCCTTTCCTAGGCGGGGTGGGTGGTATGTAGCGTCGGGCGTAAGTCCAGGGGGCCCGAAAACCTCCGTTGCCAGCTGATATTAGAAGTGCACCGTTTTTGCGTCATAGTTGCTCTATTTTGCTTTTCAGTATTTGCTCTTCAAGCATTGTAGAAAGCTCTTCGTTCGTACTTCAAATTCATTCTATCACGTTCACGGTTCTCGACCCTAAACACTCATCATTCACACTCATCATTCATCAGTATAGTGAAATATTAGCCCGTTAGATGTTTATGTACTAGTCATGTTTTTAGATCAGGATTTTCTATTTTAATTAGTGTTGCGAAAAATTCCCAACGCGAGAGTAAATATGACAATGCACTGACTAGTATTTAGTGGGAATCCTTTTGGTTTTTAAACTCAATCCAATATTTTATTTAGTTAATCAAATTAGTTACAAGGATTCCGCGGCATAAGACCGTGAACACCATCTCATGGGAGATAAACCCATGCATTACTAGGCCTTTGCAGGCGCAGCTTTAGAATACGGAACATATGAAAATATGTTACCATATTCTAAACTGTAGTCCTTTTGTCTATACTATGGGCGTCCGTCAATCTGACACCGTTGGATGCAACGTGTTGGACGGGCGGGTAGCGCTCTTAGCGAAGGGGTGCATCCTGTCCTGGCGTTACGACGTCCAGGCGGGGTGGGTGGTATGTAGCGTCTGGCGTAAGTCTAGGGGGCGTGAGACCCTTCGTTGCCAGCTGATATTAGCAGTGCACCATGTTTCTGTCATAGTTGCTCAATTTTGCTTTTCTGTATTTGCTCTTCAACCTTTATATTTGCAAAGTCGAGTCACTTTTATTAAAAATAAAACCCCCTGGGGGGCCAGCCCATATACTAAATCGGAGCCGTGAAATTTCGCCGATATTATTGCTTTTAATAAAGTGAGAATATCATCTTTAGTTTTTGCTAATCATACGTTTTAGCTTAGGCATTTCAGCACACATGAAGAAAACTGGTAGGTGAAAATACCTTTGGCCTTGTTCATTTTTATGCCCAAAGCTCATTCGGGTACTTAGATGTACTCGCGTGGGTGGAGGGCGGTGGACAAGGTTTAGTTTTAAGTGTACATTTTGGCGACTGACAAAAGTAGTGAACCAATAGTGAACCACGATAGAAGTTCCACATGTGTGTGTGTGGTTAGGATGTGGGATTTGTATCGTTTATTAAGAATCTTAACTTACTATAACATTACAAAATACTTAACAAGAATAAATTGAAAAATTTTTACATTAGATAATTCAATAGAATACGAAAATGAAATGTATTACTTTAGCATAATGTTCACTATTATTTGTCAGTCGATTTCAGCAAAAAGGTATGTGATCTTATTAGAGTGTGAAAGTTGAATTGAACTCGGGTGTCGGAGGCGTCCCGGGACGTTCTCTCTAGGTGTAGGCATTTTTGCACCCGGGTGGTTGTATGAGAACCGTGGAGTGAATTTTTGTGAGAATGATTCTTGCCCTTTTTTAAATATAGCGATAGGCAGGCAGGTAGTTTACTTCTGGTGTGATTGAGTTTAGTTTATAAGTAGGCAGGGCCAGAGCAAGCTTTCATGTTTCTCTTCGTATTCTCCTCTAATACGTGAGAAGCTTGTATCTGGGGTTGGAAATTAAAAAATCGAGAGGAAAAATGAAAATGCAAATTAATTAGTTGATTAATTAATTAATTTAGCATTCTCTCTTGATTTTTTCAAGGCCAAGCCTTATTAGTTTGTAAGTCGTAGTCGTGGTACTAGACCCGATTACAAAAATGAAGTATTAAAGTGAAAGTGCAGTGAAGTGAAGTGAAGTGAAGTGAAATTAAAAAGTGTTTTGTGCTTGGACATTTGCAAAAATTGTGCAGGTATGCGAGTAGCGATTCAAGGGATCGTTGCTCGTTTACGTGTTACGTTCTTACAAATGTCTGAGCAAACGTAAAATTTTCGCGAGTGATTTTTGTGAGGCTATTGCCGAAGAAAGAAGAGGCTATATGCTGAAGAGCCCCGGCAAAATTTGCCCAGAAGAGGGGAACTACTAATGGCTCTCCATCTTCGGATGGACAGTCATTCTGTCACTATGCTCGCTAATTTGTTTTTTCATTTTTTGTGTTTTTCCTTGAACGGTATGAATAATACCGTCCAGGACGTATTGAACTCGACATTTTACGAGTTCAATACCCAGCTCGTTGAATGGTCAATTCGCGATTTTATTTCCCCTATTTCTTTTTCGTTTATTGCTTTATTGAAATAAATTATTCTTTTCTTATTGATTTGCACATCAATTATATTTCATGTTCTTATTTTAATTATGTTCTATTTATTTAAAACATACTCTGAGATTGTAATGGTAATTATATTTTCTGTGGTCGGCATTTTTCATTTCAGTTGTAATCGAAATTATAATGTTAATTATATTTTCTATTTCAGCATTTTATTGTTGAATTATTTTTTAATTTTTACTGAAATTATGATGTTAATTATATTTTCTATTTCAGCGTTTTATTGTTCAATTGTTATTTTGTTAATTGTTACAGAAATTATGATGTTAATTATATTTTCTATTTCAGCATTTTATTGTTCAATTGTTATTTTCTCAATTGTTTCTTATATTAGGATGTTAATTATATTTTCTATTTCAGCATTTTATTGTTCAATTGTTATTTTCTCAATTGTTTCTGATATTAGGATGTTAATTATATTTTCTATTTCAGCATTTTATTGTTCAATTGTTATTTTCTCAATTGTTTCTGGTATTAGGATGTTAATTCTATTTTCTATTTCAAGATTGTATTGTTTAAATTTTTATTTTATGTTGTCTGTTTTGAATGGTTTCACGTTATTGTATATCTTATCCTAATAATTATGTTTTCCGTTACAGCATTTTATTGTTAAATTATTATTATTTTCTCATTTGTTTCTGATATTAGGATGTTAATTTTATTTTCTATTTCAAGATTGTATTGTTTAAATTTTTATTTTATGTTATCTGTTTTGAATGGTTTCACGTTCTTATGATTTTAGGGCGGGTCACTAACGTAGCCACCTCCACGTGGTGTGACCTGGAAATTGATATCGTTTTCTAAAGATAACTTTTAGAAAGCGATATCAAGCTAAGAGCTACAATAAAAAGATTTATATATTTTTTAATTGGGAAACAATAGTTTAAATTCAGAAAAGTATTTTCGGGATTGCAATATTACCATATAGAACATATAACTATAGTAATTTTATAGTTCCTGACAAAGGAACTATTTTTGGCAATGAAAGAATTTTGATTTTGAAAGAAAATTAATAATAATGAATGCATGGTCAGTATTGTTTAATTATGTGCTTATACATATAGCATACAAGTGTCATAAGTGTCATTTAGGTGTATGCGAAAGGTAAAGTAGTATAGCATGCGGTTGATAGCATGCGATAATTGAGGTGGCGCTTAAATCAGTTTCTGTTCGGCCTAATTTTCGATGAAACGTTGACTGTTTTACCGACGCGGAATTCGAAGTTCGGCCTCCACGCTAGCATCGCCTTAATTAACTTTTTTATTAATCATTAATACATAGGATTTAGATATGTTATGTTATCAAATAAAATGGAGGTTGTATTTGAGATGTATTGTGAAAAAATAATGTATGTATACTGCACAAAATGGTCACAATTGTGTGAATTATTTGTTATAAAGTAACAATACTGATATGTATATATATTTTGCAAAAAGAGTTAAATAACCAGTTCGAATATTCTGTGAAATTTTAATTGTAATACATGATGCCAATGTCAAATGTGTTTTGTTTAATATGTAATGTAAATCTTGATATTTCATCTTGCATAAATATATTTTGTACATCTTTTCCTCGTAATGGAGAGCTCTTAGTAAATTTTGTATCAAGAGTACTTCGTATAGCAATTTCTGAATTACAAGATTCTTACATGTGTACACAATGTTATAATCTATTCCAAATGTTGGAACAAGCACAAAAGACTGTTTTAAATATACGTTGTGAGATTTTAAAGATATACCATACTAGTGAAAGGAGAAAAACTATTAAGCAATCCAATGAAATTAAATTAAATTTAAATACAAATCTTATGTTAGAAGAAAGGAAAATAGATGTAAATAAAGATAATGAAAATTTAAAAGAAGAATCTAATTTGCAATCTATCCAATTTGAAGAAGTAGTAAAAAAACAAATTCAAAACAAAATAACAAATCAGAATATTAATATCCCAAATGTAAACTATAGTACCAATATTAAAACTAATGTAGACACAAAGAGAAGTATTAAGAAGAAAGTAAATGGCTGTATTGAAATAAACAATACTCAGTCATTTGATTGTAGCAATAATCATAGTAAGGATGAAATTTTTAAAAACGAAATATTTGGTGGTTCAGTAACATTAAATAATGATAACAATGCACATAATATTGCTTCTTCTCAAGGTAAGGAAATATATTATCAGTGAGAATTAAAGTATTAATTGGTTCTAACAAATTTTTTTATCTTTCTACAGAAAATATGCATATTGAAGAAAAGAATTATATTTCCTCAATAAATTCAGAGCAAAATGAATCAAAAGGTTTCTTAAAAATGGATACTATTTTTTCTGATAATGAATTACAAGTAGAACACATTGATTTTGACTGGCACGAATTGGATGAAAATGTTACAGAAGTAAAAGAGAACACTGAAAGTACAGCAGGTAGTAAATTTACATTTCTTATTCTGAATTCTTTTAAACATTAATTATATTTTCGATTGTTTAAATATTTAAATATGTAGTGACAAAAGTGGAGCAAATAAAAGTACCACTGGAATCAGGAAAAATACCAAAATATGCTTTGAAACCATTAAAGTATTCCTGTTCTACTTGTGGGAAAAGATGGAAGACCTCAACTGAATTAAAAACACACATGAAAACTCATTCTACATTGAGGCCATATATGTGTGAAAAATGTGGTCAAGCATATAAACATAAACATGCGTTAGAAGTTCATGTTGGAATGCATAATGGAATCAATCCATTTCAATGTAATTTTTGCAAAAAATGTTTCACACAAAAAGGAGCACTTATGAGGCATATACCAATGCATACTGGTGAAATGCCTTACCAATGTGAATTATGTGGTAAAAGATTTGTTCATCATACTTCATATAATATGCATAGATTATCACACAGTGGAAAAAAATCCTACAAATGTCATGTAAGTAAAAACCAATATGTATATTTATGTATTTATCATACATATTTAAATATGTACATATTTTAGATGTGTGATTTATCTTTACTTTCAACATCTCATTTGAAGAGACATATGAGAGTTCATACAGGTGAAAAACCATACAGTTGCACATTATGCGGAAAACGTTTTGCAGAAAGATATAATTTATTTGCTCATCAAAAAATTCATGATCCACTTGAAAATAAAACAAAGAAGACTAATGAAATGCAATACCAGTAAGCATATAAAAAAATTTGTAATCTCATGCTAAATTTATTTGTTCTAAGTAATGGGCTTTCAGATGTAGTTATTGCAACTTAATATTTGAACAAAAGCAAAATTTGAATGATCACGTGAAACATCATACTAATTCAAATAATGAATCTGATTTTAAGAAATCATGTTCAGTTTCACAAATTGAACCAGAAAATATTGAATTATCCAAAAAAATAGATCCTGAACACAATTTACTACAACAAACTTGGATTCAAATGAATCATTCTAAATTAAATACAATTGATAATCAAACAAGATTTGTGCTCTTACAGAATGATATTGATGAAAACTCTTTTGCAGTTACATTTAATAACCAAAAAGTGTCGTTGGAAAGTACAAACTATAACACAAATTTACAAGTAATAGTAGAACCTTTAAGTACATCACTTTTAAACACTAATCTTCCTCCTACTGATATCAATTTTAATATTTAACGAAATAATATAATATTTTAGAAAAAATATTTTAAAAAATCAATTTATTTTTTATCATATACATGAACGATTCCTATTATATTTTTTAAACTTGGTGTAGTAATACAAATCAAATCTGCAAAAAAATGTAGTTAATAATAATTAAGTATAATAATTACAAGTATGTGTTCTTAGATATCTATGTTATAATTGAGAGTTCCTTGTATGAAAATATTTCTAAAACAATGTGTTCATTTTACATAATAATTAATGGCTATATACCAATAAATTGTTATCAATAAAATTCTAAATAAGAGATAAATTGATATTTACCTTTGAACTAATTATCGGATTTAATTGAAGTTGCTGACATTTGACTTGGCAGTAATTCTTTCCATGAAGTAACACCATACATTCTTAATAAAGTTTTTCTTTGTAATACAGATGTTGATAAAGATCTACAAAATTATTTATAAAAAAGTATGAAGCATTGTAATTTAAAAAAAGAAATTAAACTTACTGTTGTATCTCATCAGTAACAGAGTCAACCATTGTTGGTATAGCAACTGTTGAAAAGTGATCAAGTTCAGACAAAAATTTAGATTTATCAATAGAATGGTTTGAATACAAGTCATAAATAAAATTAATCAGTGTATTAAATGCTTTAAAATAGTGATCTGTTAGTAGCTGCAAATATTATTTTAAAGATGTAAAATTCATATTATTTTGTGAATTCAGATTTAATAAGAAATAGTGATTACTACCACTAAAGAAAAGAATCCTGGTTTATCCATATGATAATTTGAATACATATTTCTCGTTTTTAATACGAGATCGATGTATATATTTTTTAAAAATTCTGGGTCTTTTGTTTCTGGGAATGGCTTAAAACAAGTTGAAAAATTTCATTATTATGTACAAACGATGATATTAAAATGTATTAAAATATTTGAAGACGAACTTCTGTTAATATTTCTTCACTAGATATTGATTCACTGAGATCTGTAAACGATCTCATTGCTTGCAATATTGTACTTCGGCGATGTAGAAGTCTTGCTTGATGCCTTTTACGTTTTAACTTTTCGTCTTCAACTATAACATTTGATTGTTCATCTAAAATGACCTATAAATAATTTACAGTTACTTGTTGTAACACATTTACTAAGTAGATTTAATACTCGTAATCCTTTCTCGTTCAAAGTAGAATTATCAAAATCGGTCTGTATGTAATCAAGTTGTTCTTCTTGAAATTTAATACGTTTCTTTTCTTCCATTTCTATCATTCCTATTTTAGATAATAATGATTTACTTTTTAATATAATTTCAGTCATTTCACTGTCATATTCTGGCATTGTAAATAGAATGTTTGAAGGTAACTGAAGATTTTCTATAATCTATGAATTAAAATATAATAATATATCTCTTATTATATAACAAAGATATAAAATTGTTCGTACATTATTTAAAATTTCTTCAACAAAATTTAATGTACTGTTTGCAGGTTCTAATAAATTTTCTTCTTTGTCTTTGTCTGCTTTTGCAGACACAGAATTTTCTTTACTGCTTTTCACCCATGTATTAATATCAAATTTTTCTTGTATCCAATTACGATGAACGTCTTCATTTTTCGTTAATACAAGAATGGGTTTAACATTGGAGTACCGTTTGCTCATTTGTATGGTTGCATGTAAGTCAGTTTGTGTAATACCAATTTTATTTTGCAGTGTCAAAGAAATAATCTGATTGTGATCTATAAATATGTAAGTAATTAATTAGTCTAAAATAATATTTTCACAAATATTATTAAAGAAAATTGAACAATATCAACTGACGAAATCCGTAACTGTTCCCTAACATTTCTTGAATTGCTAAAAATTCACCGCGACGAGACATGTCATTAAATTCTTCTCTGTTTGTAAAAATATAAGCTTGATTTTCGATATCGCTATTTTCTGGTTGTTTTGTAGTATACCACCGACAGTATTTGATCTAAAATAAATTGTTAATTTCTAACATATTAATTCATTATATTTGAAAAATTAAGTATAATTTTGTACTTTGTTTGGAAATGTTTGGGCAATGTGCAATGCCAAGGATACTTTTTTCACTGCACATGGACCTGTAAGTATTATTAAAGGTAGACTTGTTTCATCATAAGGTTTAACGTGAAGATCAATTCTGGGTGTGCTTAATTGTTCTAACAAAGTTAATTTTGTAGTAGTACGGGCAGCTGTTAATTCCACTGGTGATACAAATAGAATTGCAGCAGCAATCTATTAAAATACATTATTTTTAGTATATTTGCATTATGACTTAATTCTTGATTATGTACCTTTTCTGAAGTAGATACATGATTACCATCAATAGTGTGTATACTTGGTATGGAAAACAAAATTACACTTTTATAATTAGGCCATTTTGTACAACCATTGCCTCTAAGATCTATTTCAAGTATTAAACCTTTGAGGTTTGATAATTCCAATAAATCATTAATTCTATTAAATTTTAAGTCTATCACACGTAAACTATATGCATCCTAGATTTTCAGATCAAATGATTATTATTATAAATAAGATACAATTAACAAAAATTGTTACCTTAAAAAACTCCAAAGTAGTTATTTTATTGTATCCTAAACGTATTACTCTCAAATGGGGTAAAATGTATATCCCTTGATCAGGTATAATAGATTTAAATGATATTATGCAATTACCTTCTAAATTTAGTTCCTGAATATTTAATTTATCTAAGTTCTCGATATATTCAATTAAATTGTATGATAAATTTAAGTATTTCAAATACCTAAACATATAATATATAATATAAAAATGAACAAGTTCCTTTAGTTATACGTATGTAGAAAAATATACTAACTTTAAATTTTGCAAACCAAAAATAGTTTCAATTGCATTGTGCGATAAATCTAAATGAACAATACTCCAGAAGTTACTGATATCACACATTTCTGATATATAATTATATGATAAATTTACATATGTTAAGTACCAAGGAGGTGTAAAATTTAAAATAGTATTCATCCTGTTATGAGCCACATTCAAATACATTAAATATGGTATTCCTCCCAAAGGAGATAAACTTGAGATATAATTGAATCCAAGATCGATATATTGCAAGTAACGATGATAATACAACATAGTAATATTTGAAAGGGACTATAAAAAAATTTTGTTTAATATACTTTATTCATGGTCTTAAACGTTCTGTATTAATAATAGAATAAAATACCATATTCTTCATAATACATTTACTCAGAACATAAAGACCATTTTCCGGAGATCTAGTCAGAAATGATTTTCCAGTTCCTATTAGTCTGTCTGTAAAAAAGCCACACAATTCTAAATCATCAAATAATACCTCTTCAAGGTGTCTTATTTTTACAACAGGTGCATTATCATCATTCCATAAATTAGAATTTAGAGCATAACTACTCCAACTACTTTCAGTTACACATTTTATTGTGTCTTCATGTGTAGTAACTGGTTCTTGATGAAGTAATGAAAATGAAAGATCAGACTGTACAAGTAGAAGAATTATTATTTCAATACTAATTTCAATATAAATTAATTTTAAATAACAGTTACACTTAATGTAGAAGTAGTTGAACTGGTTGAAGTTGTTGAATCAGTAGATGAAGCTTCAAATGGCACATATCTATCATGTATAGATCCCCAGCTCATATCACTATGTGATAATACATCAGAATCAACGTCATTATTATCTTCAACATTATCTGTGTGTGTCTTTTCTTCCATATCAGGAAGATTATTAATTGCATTTGATTCAAGTAATGATTCAGAAGGAGAAAAGAGATATGTGAACTGTTAAATAAAATTAAAAAATATACATAGTTCTTATATTACAAATAAAAATGTTAATATTGTCTTTGATAAGTACAATTAAAGTTACAATTTTACCTTCTTGTAGTTCATTTTTATATTTAAATTATTATTTCTTTGTCTGTAAAATAATAAAACCTTGAAAATAATTATATAGCTTCATACATTTCTACTGTTTCTTAACAGTTGAATGCACATAGAATAACTATACATCAAATAGTAAAAACACATGTTTTTATTCAGTTAGTATCATGAAAGTAAATGATACAATAGCATTTAAGCATCTAAAGCTAAGGTGTTCAAAACTGTATCTGAAAAACGATAATGATGCCATCCTTCTTCTAATGTTAAGTTAAGTGCTCCTTTATCTTTGTAAAATTTTTGTGCAGGATTCCACTCAAGAACTGAGAAATCTAGTCTACAACATTTGTTTTCTGTTGCTTCCTATACAAATAGATAATGTACAAATTGTGTATTAATGTCACTCATTCATTATTCTTTTGTACTTTAACAAACTTACTGTAGCAATAGCTTTTAACAGTTTGCTTCCAATATGCTTATTTCGATACAAGGGTGTTACATATATATCTTCTAAATACATGGCTTTCCCACACCATGTTGAATATGTATAATAAGAAATTGTATACCCTACTATATTTCCATTAACTTCTGCTACATAACATATAAATAAGGGATGTTCTACATCAAATCCATCTTTTTCTAGAACTAAAAATATTTATAATTAAATATCAAATTAAACATTAAACATCAACACTTTATATTCTTACCTGTATGATCAATTTTAGGTCCTTCTGGCATACGTTCAAAATCAGCTAATTCCTAATACAACATAAAAACAAAATAATTTATAACAATGAACAAGAAATAAATTAAATTTACCTGTATTAAATTTCTAATAGCTTTACAATCTTCACGTTTTGCTTTGCGTATTATTATGTTATCCATATTTGCTGTTAAATTTATACCGCAATTCACCAGAGTCCATAACTGCGAAAAGACCAGTTTTCGTTCTTTGCGCTTCTCCAGTGCGCATCTTCGCCCTGATTGGCGATACTCCCAAACGAAGTGGAAAGCGATTAGCAGAGAGCTCGCTGCGTTCCCCCACCATCTTCCAACCTGTGCGTCGCAGTTATGGACTCTGGTGAACTGCGGTATACTACTTGCAGTTTATCTTAACCTTTTATATAGCAAAATATTTTATTAACACAGTAGAGGTTATACACAATTTATAGAAAATATGAACAACACATTAATTTAATTATGTTTAAATAATAAAAAAAAATACCTATTAACATAATTTCTAATGTATTAATGAAATATTAAATATGCATATGTGTAAATTTTAATATAAAAGATGTTAAATACTTTTTTCAACTTATAAAATTAATAATTACATTTCTATAATTTAGTTAGAAGTTAGCTGTATGCAATATAAAGACTGAATAAATAATATGTATGTGTTTTATTAGAATCATGAAATAGTATAATAAGTAACAATTGTAAAAGTTTTCTAGCCAATTTAAAATTTTTGCGCGTTAATCAAATCGAATCTCGAATAGTATCGAAGCATCAGTTTCCGGTGCGAGGCGACATTGACTTCCTGGAAGCACACCATTTGTGTTCATTCGCGATCGGTGCGTCGTGTAACGTCGTTGTGTATGGTTTTGTAGTGACGTTATTATAAATAATTCGGGTGATTTACTCGCGGTTCGTGTGTTTTTCGCGTTGAAAAGAGTCAAAAACAGAAAGAAAAAATGTCAGAGATTGACGCAAAAGTGAATATGTCGCTTGGTAAGTGGCCAGAGTCTCGAAAATCTAGCAGTTTTGCCGATAATCCTGGGTGAGCGTACGGCTACTGTTTCTTCTTTTGCACAAAATCAAAATGGCGATGAAATTATACAACGTATATAGATACCCACATTTATTTTCGTTCGTTTATACTCGTCGATAGATTTTGGAAAAATACGTATGAACGATGAGACAACTTTTAACAGGATTGTTCGTCTCTTTAATTATTAAATAGAGACTGATTGACTCATTTAGTCCATATTTATTTATGGGAAGATACGGGATCTTTTCGATCACTGGAAGGAACTTTTCACAATTTATGGTCCATTTAAAAAAAAACAATACGATGTATTCCGGATCGTTAAACGTAACATTCACACTAGAAACAACGTATCATTATGATAAAGAAGAAAAGTATAGCCGCCAGGAGTGATTTCTTTTAATAATAACGAAATTTTGTTAAATGGAAAATTGACGAACATGAATCGGTCACTTTTGGATAATGCCGCAAGCGAAGTTGTGTGACTCATGCTTCATAAAAAGAAGTCAACTTTCTCATTGCGTGGGATATACGTTTGCGTAACTTTAGTTATATTTTTATCTCTGCTATCATGTTCCTCGAGTTTCTCTTCGTCCATATAGTGGATTTGAAATGCTACACCATGTGCGAGATGAAAGGAAATGCCGAAATTTTCGGATCAATTTTGTTTTGGGTCCTTTGGGAATGTGTATAGCGCAATTTTGTCACATGAATTGAATGTAACAATTTAACTTATTTATATAAAAAAAACAGTACATACAAGGAAAGCATTTATGAACCAGGAGATTTTTGAATGACTGTGTGTTAAGAATATCAAGAAATATACTTCTCAAAAATCTATAAAATATTTCCTACAATTAACAGGAATAATCTTTCATGTTAATATCGAATGAATTAAAAGATCCAATTGGATTTATGTATTTAAATACTCTGTCTAATTAACACTATAAGAAGCTACAGATTCTACAACCTTTACCTAAATGTGATGCAATGATAAAAACATATACATATAATAATCATGTTATTACTTATGTACGAAGAATTTTATGAATGAAATTTTGGAAACTCACAGAGAAGAAAGTTATCCTACAACTTATCTGAGATATATTAATACTCATCAATATTTTAATTACATAGCAACTCAACTACAATGCTTTTATATCAGTATATTACAATGTCAGTAATTCATGACATGAGTGGTTTATTTTTAACTAAAAAATGATGAATAAACTGTTGAAACTAGAAATGGAAGGACAAAATCAGATCAAGATGATTATTTGACTCACCCAGTAATTATACCATGAAGATACCAAATATTAAACAAAATTAAATATTAAATTTAATATACAACTAAAACCAATGTATGAAATTGGATATTACAGAGACATTAAAATGTGCAGAAAGTTCTACCATAAAATGTGTAAATAAAAAGTTGGAATGAAATTTGAAGAATGAAGCAGCGATGAATAGAAAGAGGAAATGAAGTATCTGAGAAAATGCTTATGAAGTCTAGAAATATAAACGAAGTAAAATAAATTAATGCAAATGAAGAATTATTATTACTTGTTAAATCAGTCATTAAAGGCATTTGCCTTTTGCATAAAAGGGATTATTTTAATTTTGCACTGAACCATTTTTATTTAAATAAATTGCATTATAAATTCAAACTTAACGTTCCTTACATATTGTATTAGAATATAATTTGATGCATGAGCAAGTACATAGATCTGATCAGTTTAAATAAACTTATATAACATCTATAAGGGTACTTGTTTCATGCGCAATAGTATTCTAAAATATCAATGATTCATTACCTACAGACTTGTAATAATTTACTAGACTCTATATTTTTTTTACTTTAGAATAGTACATCTGTGATTTTTATTGTTATTTATTTTTAATATTAAGAATACAGAATTAGTGATATATTTTAAAACATCCTTAAGTGGTTGGGTAAATTTATTAAAAAAACACAGTCAGACATGTAAATAGACATATATACATACGTATATGTACAATTCAAGTTAATATCCAGTGTGATTGTCACGGGTATGCATATATGTTGGAAGAAAATCCAGGGAAGTCAGGGGAAACAATTTATGAAAATATATACTGAAAGCCACAATTCCCTTAATGGAAATAAATAAGAACCGAATTTATCATCTTGAGTTAATCTTCAGTGTCGTCCGTACAAGAGGAAATTTTTCAGATATTCGAGACTAAAGCTTTAAAAAAAAAAAAAAAACATTCTTTCTGCACTATTAAGGCCGTACGCTCACTAAACCTTGTGAATTTTCTTCCTTTTAAGATGAAATCATAAAGATGGAGAAAAAGGAGAAAAAGAAAAAGGCTGGGCCTCCCAGTGGAAAAGGTGGTACTAAACGCACTCGAGGAAGTGCAAGAGGACGCAATGGACTGAGGGGTAGAGGAGCTAGAGTAAAACGTAATGTTGGGACTGTTAAAAAAGAGCAAACATGGCAAGCTGGACAAAATAATAGCAATAACAATGTCCGCGGTGGGTTTGTAAGAAAACGATACAAGAAAAGCACTGGTCTAACTAGATCAAGAAGCAACTTGACATTAAATCAGAAAACAAGTGCACGAGGAGCTTTCAATGTTCGTCGAGGACGAAGCAATAGATTTGGTTTAACTCGCAGTAGAAGTCGTACAAACTTGACTTTCACTCAAGGAGGATTTTTCACCAATAACAAAACTGCGTTGAAACGAACAAACAGTTTACCAAATCTACGTGATCCAACATCAGTTCATAATCGGTTGGGATATCAAAGCCCTGCCCAAATTGCCTATCGAAATCGTGTCAAAAGGGCTAAACAATTATTGTTACAACGGCAAAATCAGAGAATGTCTTTACAAAATCAATTCAGAGTAAGTAATATATCAAATACGTATGAAACAATAAGCAGGATTTAAACTAAAATTGTTTCTCTTTTTATAGGTACCTCAAGCTGGAAAATCTTTGATGTCACTTCAGCAAAGATCTACGGAAAGAAGGCAACAAATTTTAACGTCTCAACGTCGTTTTACCACCGGTGGATTACGCTCAGATCAAATTGCCCGGGCGCAGAGACGGGCACAATATGAACAAAAGTTAATGAGAATGAAGTATGGTTAAAACTTCTATAATTAACTATTCTAAATAATTTGATTTTATACCATTTTCTATGTTCACGTAATTAGTTTGTATCATTGAAATAATACAATGTTATAGTACTTCACGATTAAATACGAATTCAAATGTGAACTTCATGTGCACATTGGGAAATGAATATAGTGCAGGCACGCACCAACGTCCTGTTACACTTACACCCAGCCGAAACGGAAATGCCGTGAACAGTTTGCGCCAGCTGCCAAGAGGACGTTCGCCATTTAGACAAAATGTACAAAGCTTAAACATGGTATGATGTAGATCTTATTGAAACAATATTCGAGTTATGCATTTTCAGATACTTTGTTCATTGTATTCTTAAATGTATATAAATGATGAAATATTTTAGGTTGGCCGGGCACCTTTATTTGGCCGACAGCGTTCGAGGTCACGATCGCGTTCCCGTTCTCGTACACGTAACACTCCGTCATCAGATGCAGGAGCCGATGTAGATGATCGTACTTTCAGCGAAGTCATGTACAGCTTGTCTGGAAATCTTGGTGTTACCGGAAGAACGCTTAACGATAGATTTAGTTTTTAAGTCTAAAAAAAAATTTTGTTTTGTATTTAGAACATAAGACTGCTGAGGCCAGAAGTGATTTTTATGCTTGAAACATAGAAAAAATGGTATTAAATGAATTGCAGCTCAGCTACTTGAATATTTTTGACTTAGTCTTGTTTCATATTTTAAGCAATATGAAAATCATTTTTACATTTATCTTTGGAATATACATTGAAGTAATAGATGCATTGAGTTTTTAATAAATGCAATATTTGCATTATTTTCTGATTCTGAAAATACCTTATGACAATTTATTTTTTAAATTTCATGAGATAAATTACTTGTTTTTTTCATTTTTCTCTTAGAGAGATATATACGTTTGATTTATGTTGCATACAAAATTAAAATACTTAAGCTTAAGAAACTAGTAAAAAAAAATGTAATATATAAGAAGAAAATTCATAGTAAATTTTTTTTATGAAAAACACAGCCTGAAATTGTTTATAAACATTTAAAATAAATCTTTTGTTAGTGTAAATAACATCTTTCTGTTTAAGAACTTACCACATTATTTTTATTATAAAAAACATTTCAAACTTTCAGTAAATGTATTTTTTTTATTAGATTCAACAAATTTATGGAAGGATATAGTCTCAATCATGTTATTTTAGTTTTTATAAACAAGTAGACAACTTAAAAGTCAAATATTAAAAGAATTAAATCTGAAGCTACGTTAAAATTATAAAAACTTTACAAGTTTCTTAAAATATAGTATGACCTTTTTTTATTATACTAATTAAATAATTAAGTGCTTGTAAGAAAGTCATAATCAGAATATACATAATGTATACATAGAAGTACAATGTAAATTGACTTTTTATATTTTATTGTATAAACATAATTTAATACGTACAATATATCTTCTAGATAGAATCTTTATTACATTAATATGAAGGTTACATCTAACTAGTGGAATAACTTTGTTAGTTATTTAAATTTGTTATCCCAAGCAACGAATATTACATTATTGAAATGTAAATATTGTATGGCAGGTATTATACGTTCAATATAATATTAATTATACGAAAAACTATGGAGTTATTAATGTTATAACAAAACTACATAATATATTCTACATTCATCGCCTACTTGACGTAATCATTTTTGTAAATTTTATTTGTAAATTGAAAGTTTTATAATATGGGTTTATAAGCAAAATATTTTGTAATATTTATACATAACAAAGTAATACTTCAAACATTCTCGTAAAAATCAAGAAAATTTTTAAATGAATATATTAAATACAATTTTTTATTACACATCAACAAGGAAATTAAAAAATTAATTGCTTATAAAATGACACCAGGAATTTCAACGTTAATGTCATTCGCTCAAAGAATAGAAGGACAGGTAAATATTTAATTTTCTAAATAATTACTAAAAAGCTAGACTAAAAATATTAATATTTGAAAAATATTTTTTAGATTTTATCTCGAACGTCTGCTTTGAAACATTGGACTACTCAACAAATTCGACACATGCGAGTTCATGAACATATCGCATATACTTTGTTAAAACAAGCTGGAATTCCAACTCCACCTTTCGGTGTAGCTAAAACTCCAGACGAAGTTGCTAAAATAGCCGCAGATCTTAAAACGAAAGACATTGTTTTAAAAGCTCAAGTTCTTGCTGGTGGTCGTGGTATGGGACACTTTAAAGGTACCAATGTCAGCGGTGTTGTTATGTGTGAAACGTGAGTCTAATTATTTATTACCGAATTTTTACTATCTGTATTATTTTCAAGAATTTATTATCAATAATATAATGTATTTATATTTTAATGATTTTCAGTCCTGAACAAGCAAAAACTCTGGCCAGCAATATGATAGGCAAATTATTAATAACAAAACAAACTGGAGCTGCTGGAAAAATTTGTAATTCAGTGATGGTAACAACGCGCATGTTTCCACGTAAAGAATATTATATGGCGGTAATGTTGGAGCGATCTTTTGATGTAAGTATCTTTTTAATGGATTTATTAAATGCATGGCGAAATTAGAAGGAATATAATTATAGGGTCCAGTTGTAATTGTATCTAAACAAGGCGGTGTTAACATTGAGGATGTTGCCGCCACAAATCCTGAAGCTATATCGTACATACCAATTAATATCATGGAAGGTTTAACAGTTGAACAAGTAAAGACCATTGTGGATAAATTAGGTATAGAAGGAGAAGGCAGAGAAATCACTTCAATAATTGCTTGCAATCTCTATGAATTGTTTATTGAAAAAGAAGCTTTATTGCTCGAAATTAATCCATTTGCTTTAGATATTTGTGGGGAATGTATGTAGAAGAAAAAATCTGTTAAATTAATTTTGCTCATCATCAATTATTGACGTTAATGTATATTTTCAGATTTTGCTTTGGATTGCAAATGTTCTTTTGACGATAGTTCGGAATATAGACAAAAAGAACTATTTGCTCTACAGGATGAATCACAAATGGATCCCAATGAACTCCAGGCAGCGAAATTTAATTTAAACTATATATCTCTAGATGGAAACATAGGGTGTATGGTAAATGGAGCTGGATTAGCAATGGCTACTATGGATCTTATAAAACTGTATGGTGGTATGCCAGCTAATTTTTTAGACGTAGGTGGTACAGCTACCGCAGAAACTGTAAAAGAAGCATTTAAGATAATAATCTCTGATCCAAAGGTATCTAGAAATTAAGAAATTCTGAAATAAAAATGTTTAATATACTTCATTGGAAATCTAAAATTTTAAGGTAGAAGCGATTTTAGTAAATATATTTGGTGGTATCATGAGATGTGACATAATCGCTCAAGGAATTATCACTGCATCCAAGGATTTAAATTTGACCATTCCAATAGTTGTAAGGCTGCAGGTAATTTAATAATGCTGTTCAACAAGAAATTGGAAAACAATATTACAAATTTTCTTTCCGATACAGGGAACTAATGTAGAGCAAGCAAAAACTTTGATCCAGCAGGCACAATTGAAAGTTATTTCTGTAGACGATTTTTCAATGGCAGCTGAAGCGGCTGTAAAATTGGCATTGATGGTAAATGCAGCAAATTCTTTGGATTTAGATGTTACTTTTAAAGCTAAAGAAAAATCTACTAAAACATCAAAATGATTTTTAAAACCCGAGATTTAGATAACGTTAATTAATCAGTATTTTAAAATACAATATTGTACTTGATTTTATATTCATACTAATAATTTTAAGTCAGATACCAGAAAATATACACAGACTTTTGTCTTCATACATTTCATGTAAATTTGTATAGATATATTTGTAAAAGAATAAATATTTTCCTTGAACTTCATAACTGATTTCGGTTTTTAATTTATCTGTATGAAACATCCTAAATTTGATGAACATAAAGTTCAAAATATTTATTTTTCTAGTAATTGTATTAACAAGAAAAAGGTTTTTTATTACAGCAATTGTTAATAACAATGAAATTATGCTTTAATTATGAGTGGGATAGGAAGGATTTCGACGACATTAAAATAGTGCTGCCATCGCGGGCTTCGTTGGTGGAGTTTGCGTCATGTTTTTGTAGGAAACGTCAAGAAAGGTGGGGACACGAAGGCGCAGCTTACATTTCGCAGTCCACTGCTACTGCTTTAGTAAGATGGCTACCATGTTGTCTCGGACAGCCTCATTCGTTGAAAATTTCACTCGATTCAGTGGATCGAAGGTACGCTAAATAATTTCTTTTTCATATGCTAGTATTTCGTTCATTCGCATTAATTCACACCTGCATATTTCCTTTATTTGCACGCCCGAATATCTGTTAGTATTTACGCCACTGTTTCACAAGTGGAGTAATCACCATATTAGATGTTCTGTAGTCTGCTAAATTGGGCGCCAGGGTCAGACGATTCGAAGCCAAAGATTGCGGCCTTGCACTAAACACAATTTTTTTTACGAAATATGAGTATGACAATTGTGCAATACGAGGATGATCAATTTCAGACTCAACCTTTGATTTCATGGTCATTGACTTTGTCTTCTGCGTTCGTATTTAATTGATGATTATTAAATTATGTCAGAACAAGTATCACTTGTCAGACAATTAGGAGCTGTCATACTATTGAAAATTTCAAAATTTAAACAATTGACGATTTTATTATTGATTTGATTTTTCAACAATGATTTTGTAAATACTTTTGTTTCAGTTTAATTAAATTATTTTTTTACTACTTTCATGTTTTGTATGTTACTTTTACATAATCGTTTCAACTAAAATATTTGTTTATCAAAAACAAAGTAAGTTACAAGTGCCAAGGATTTAATTGAAGCTACGTATGTAGGTCATTACCACTGATTGATCTTTGAGTTCAGATTATTTTTACTTCCTATTGCTTAAAGCTCATGAACTAAGTTCATGAACTGTTGATGCTGATATGTTAAGTTATTTCTAATAGTTTAAAATTGTTTCATACATTGTAGAATTTATTTCTAAATGAAAATTTAAAGCAAGCATTTACAATACAAGTATAATATTGTTATGTAATTATACGCAATGTGCCAATTATAAAAGCTAATTATAATTGTAATTTCTGTAATTATGAATAATTTTTTTTCTTCATTTTTTCAAATAATTTCTTTACATTGTTAAATTATTAATCAAACATTTATCTTTTTTTAGATATTAGGTTGCAAAGTCAACTTAGCAAAGCAACCAGTTAGAAACTTAAATGTTCACGAACACATAAGTTATACTCTATTAAATGAAGCTGGGGTACCAACTCCTAAATTTGGAGTTGCTAAAACTCCAGATGAAGCTGCAAAACTTGCTGCTGACTTGAAAACCAAAGATATTGTTTTAAAAGCCCAAGTGTTAGCAGGTGGCAGAGGAAAAGGTCATTTTAAGGGTACTAGTATCAGTGGTGTAAAGATGTGTGAAACGTAAGTTAATACTGCTATATATGTATAATAATAAATCATAATACCATTTCATGTTATATTAATCTTTCTATTATAGACCAGAAGAAGCAAAAAAATTAGCCAGTCAAATGTTAGGTAAATTACTCATTACTAAACAAACAGGTGAAGCAGGTAGGATATGCAATGCAGTAATGGTAACTCAGCGTATGTTTCCTCGTAAGGAATACTACCTTGCAGTCATGATGGAAAGAGCCTTTGGTGTAAGTTTTTAAATAACAAAATTTTAATTAATAAAATTATAGTTCCTTTGATTTAAAAATCGTTAATTTAAGGGTCCAGTTATAATAGCTTCGAGTCAAGGTGGTGTAAATATTGAAGAGGTTGCTGCAACAAATCCTAATGCTATAATGTACGAACCTATTGACATCGACAAGGGTATTACGAAAGAACAGGCAGACCGTATTGTAGTTAAACTTGGTCTTCAAAATGTTAAAGATTATATTTCTGATATCATTATGAATCTATATACACTGTTTCTAAAAAAAGATGCCCTTTTATTGGAAGTGAATCCCCTTGCAGAAGACATCAATGGAAAATGTAAGATTAGTTAATAAAGAACTTGTTTGATTATGCTTATAAAAAATAATGTTACTAAATGAAGGATTTTATTTTATGCTGTCTAGACTTCGCATTGGATTGCAAATGCAGATTTGATGATAATGCCGAATTTAGGCAAAAAGAGCTATTCGCTTTACGGGATTGGTCTCAAGAAGATCCTAAAGAAGTTGAAGCTGCTAAATTTGACTTGAATTATATTGCACTTGATGGTACTATTGGGTGCATGGTAAATGGAGCAGGTTTAGCCATGGCCACTATGGATATTATAAAATTACATGGAGGGGAACCAGCTAATTTCTTAGATGTGGGTGGTGGTGCATCTACCTCTGCTGTAAAGGAAGCATTTAAAATAATTACTTCTGATTCACGAGTAAGTTATCTACATGTAATGTATCTACAGTCTTACTTTAATATTATAATGATATTGACATGTGTTTACATTGAATACAGGTTCATGCTCTCTTAGTTAACATATTTGGTGGAATTATGAGATGCGATGTTATTGCAGAGGGAATTATCGCTGCAACTAAAGAACTTAGCTTAAAAATCCCAGTTGTTGTTCGATTGCAGGTATAATACAAATAATAAATACTTTTATGTAAATAATAACTAAATAAGTATTTAATAGTACTATATTACATTATTGTATGATTTCAGGGTACAAACGTAGACGAAGCGAAAGCGCTTATCGCGAATGCAGGTTTAAAAATTGTACCAATCGATGATCTTGACGAAGCTGCCCGTGTTGCGGTGAAATTATCAACCATTGTTAAATTAGCGCAATCGGAAAATCTCAGTGTCAACTTCGAAATCCCTTCAATTTCATAAACTTAGTAAAAATATATACCAAGAGGAATACGAAAGTATATTCATAATTTGTTAAATTCTTGAAACAATATTTGAAAGTAATAACTAGATTAACAATCTCAACTGTCATTTCTGTCTTGTATTTAGAATCACATTTGAATATCTTACACATTTTTATTAGAAGCTAAACGGAAATAGTTACTGAAAATGCTGGATTTCCTTGATTTTCGGTAAATTTATTTTTCAAAAAGACAGACGTTTGTTTGTCGCTATATACTGTTAGTAAAATACCAGATAATTTATTCATATTTGGTGTCGCATCTTTAATGTAAGCACAAATTCTTTCCCGAGAAGTATTTCAAACTTCTTCAAGAATGTAATTTATTGCTTACCCATTAACGGGTTCTGTGATTCAGTATTAAAGTTAAGTTACACGATATATATGTATCAAAATAGTCATATTTTTTGCAAGAAAATCTGTCCTACATTCTTTTAAAGTCCATATTTTGTACTAACAAAGTACATGGTTATTGTCGATAAACGGAACCTTTTGTATAATCATGTATGAAAAAAATGTTATATTTCAGACACTTGAGATATACTTGTTATATCTCGTTTAAAAAAAAGGCCTGTTTAATGTAATATAGATACATGTAGTTATGTGTATACATATATAAATTATTTTACGTAATTTTAGTTTGTCTTCATTCTGTTAACAAATCAAAAGTAATGTTCACGTTTTTCTTTCCCTAAGACATATATTGCAAAATAACTCGATTACGACGTATCAGTATTATGACATGACGTGATCAACTAATGATGAAATTCATTTATTGATATACTGTTCGCATTTACTTTATAGACAGTACACAATATGTCATAAAATGTATCATACTACAAATCCATAGCATAATTTAATTTATTAAAAATAATTTTATAAGATCATTATTAATGATAAACCCGTGTTACGTTATTTTAAAATTTAAATGTTCCTTCGAATGTGACACTGTTTAAAAGTATTTTTGCTTAAATGAAATTGTTACGACCGATAATGGTATTCTCTTTTTCAATAAAAACATCGTATTGTTATGATGGCTATGTCCTTCATTTGTCTATAAAATAACAAATTTGTAATATTCAAATACGCAAAATATTATATAAACTTGTGTAAACTCCAAATTTTCCATATTCAAATATTTATAGATCGAAAAATGCAAACAGCTTCAAGGTGTTGAAAAAAAAGTAGACTTGGAATATTTTTAAATAATTTTTTATTCGAGGGAAGGACATCGCCAATTTCCCTGTGAAACCCTATCATACTTGGTACTGTATGTATATTGTATAACAATTGTTTTTCATTGCAATATCGGGCTAGTGTTAATACGAAATTGGAAAACAAAAATAAGTTAATCAATAATTTACTTCTCCAAAGCAACTTGTTTCGTCATAAAAATTTGTATATTACAAACATAAACTTTTCAAGAATGATCAACTTACACTAGTGATAAAACTAACATTGTTTTACAATTAATTTTGTCCATTTGGCTATACATGGCATCTGTCAAATTCTTAAATTTTATTAACAAGTTTTAACTTAAAAATACTCGATGCTTTGGTCCTTCATTTATATCATTAAGAAAGAATCATGTCCTGGATTTCTCACGCATTATCGCTACCGGTTGATCGCAATTAATTAATCATCTCGTTTGTTATGTTCTCCAAACAAACGGTTTGTATCACGTTCTACACCCGTATCCTTGCAAACTCCTTCCTTAGCATCGCATGATAATCCATTTGCACAGGGACAAAGAATGTAATGAACATCCGTCAACGTTACCAAAGCGCCATCAGGATATCCCACAGTCATATTAATGGCCGATGCACTACCTGGTCTGCAAATTTCTCCTTCTTTCTGCATTGCTCTACATTCTGGAATACTGTACCTTATCGGTCCTAGAATAATTAATTAACGTTTTCTTTATAACAGAAATTTTCTTGTCTTGTGTAACTTGATGTAAAAAATAATTACCTATGGTACAACAGTAGCCTGATTCGCACTCCAAATTGTTCTGGCAACGTATATAGTCCGGTCTAGCGGGTTGTGCGCGGGAGGAACAACTCAGTATAAAGAAAAGAAACGAAGTGACAAAAATTGGCGTCATCGTTGTTATTTTCGTTTGCTGACTCCTACGAAAGAGAAAAAACAAATTTTAGTCTTCTATGATATCAAATGTTATTTCGAATTGTATCCATCATTCAATGATTATCCATGTAATTAGTCATATTCTCATATATATATTTTTTTAAATTCTGTTTAACTATACAGTTAGGAGTACCGTTTCAGGAAATAATGTTACGTAGGTTGATCGTATATGGACCGATCTTTTGTCCACAGATTAGTCACACGTACAATCGTCATATGAATAAGTTAAAACATTTATTCCCGATATCGGTACTCCTTGATACGCTCAATGTTTGTACTAATTTCAATGTTCTGTAAATATCCTCAGACCTTCACCTTTCTCTTAGCCGCGATAAAACATCATTGAAAATGATAGAACTACTAAGATGAATAGAATAGCACGAATGTTCTGAAATTTGAATATAATGAGCATTGTTAAACATTTAATGAGCTAGTGAAGCATCCGACGCGCGACGATACGTACACGTATGCTAATATTAGTTTATACTAGTGAATACTAGTTTACTGAATCTATTGTGAAGTTTATCCATGTAATTTAAAATATGCGATCACCAGGTTTTGAATCAATCGAAATGATCGTGTTCGATATTCAGATGGTGGTCCCTTCGTTTGAAATGTTCTGCGCAATATCCGCGTGTCTTACAGGATTTCATGCGTATAATTATGGTATTTAACTCTCCGACAATGGTCCCCTAAGACAACAATTGAAATTTAATTTTATACTCTATTTTAATTCAATTTCTTAAATTTTATATTATTCATTTAGTTATTATTTGAAGTTGCGATTTACCTAATCTGCTTACGTGTTAATCACGCGCACCGCTCACTTCTAATCGTTTTCTTTGATCTAAATTAAAAGATAAGAAAAATGTGTATCTTAAACACTTACAAATCTTCCACGTTGTCCACGCTCAGCAAACACTTGTCGACATTTGATCGTGCAAACCGGTGAGCCTGTTGTTTTTATACAGGCTCTTCCTCCGCTTCGTTCGTTCCTCCAAATAAACGAATAGTTCGCGCGTTTTTCCTCAGGAGAGAAAGATTCACGTTCGATGCGCCTCTGACCGCACCAGATCGCTCACCTTGCCCTGAATAATACGGTGTTTAATATCAGCAAATAATTTAATCTTTTGTACACCGAATTAACGAACAGCTAATTAAATGAACCTCGTACTTAGTTTGAAAAAAAAAGGACATAGATAAGGATAGAAAACAGGATGATTTAGGTATTTAAAGAAGCGCGGCAAAACTTCCTTAAATACATATTCCTTGAATATATTTTTCTTCTGGAAATGATAACGCGAGGTCAGGTATAAGAATATCGCGCCGCTATCCGAAAATCCACTTTGATTAGGCGATGTACCAGTCGGAAAAGTGAACATTTCCCATGGCGATAACAGGCAACTTTTTCTAGACACCTTAAAGGTATTTTCTTATATTCTTATACTATGTAAATAATGATAAATTCAATGAAAAATTGCTCGTTTATAATTGCAGTATTACGTAATCAATTGAATGGAAATCCCATTCGTGAAGTCAGATCGCATCAGATCCTGAAAGCATACGCTTAGGATTAATAATTAATGGTATAAGTTGTTCCAATACAATGATATTAATCGAGGAGAGTACAATAGACAGAACATTGCAGCGCGTATGTATAATTTATGTACATCGCAGGAAAATCAAGACATGATTCTTTCAAAATGGTACACGTAATAGTTTAGTGTTTCTCTAAGTTTTAAATAAATACCTACCTAAAAGCTTGAATGGTTTATTGACCCGCGTTATGTATAAAACGGCTATTAAGTGTTACTTCGTTTCTGATTAATTATTTTCTAGTTTGCGTTATCGTAAAACCAACATTCCAAAACCAGATTATTGTTACGTATAAACATATAATTGTATACCCTAATTTTATTTTCTGCGTTCATGTAATTTGCTGTATTTCTCTTTTTAGCTTATTGAATAAACTCATTACAAGAACGAACGTGTTGATTTTATTACTCCCGTATGTATCCTTTACATCTCTGCACCCCTAATAAATCGGCATTATTTTCATCCTAGCATTCCTTACATCACTGCATCCTTTACATCCTTGCATCCTTTACAGCTCTGTCACTCTTACATCCCCGTATGCCTAACATCCCTCTATCCTTTACACCTTTCTATCACTTTACACCCTTCAATCCTTTACAGCTCTGTCACTCTTATATCCCCGTATGCCTAACATCCCTCTATCCTTTACACCTTTCTATCACTTACACCCTTCAATCCTTTACATCCCCCTATTCCTTAAATGTTTGTTCTTCTTACAACCTTGTTTCCCTTATAGCCCTGCATCCCACAAATCACTCTATTCCCTACAATCTGCGGTGCCTTACATCTCTTTATCACTTACATCTTTGAAATTACGTTTTTGGCGTTCGTAATAGCGCCCTCTAGTGGCGAAAAAAGGAACTAAAGTACGAATAAATTTAGCGCCATCTGGTTGCAAAAAAAGGAACTAAACCTTGCCGAAATTTTGGCCCTCTAGCGGGAAAAATGCGTACTAAAATCTCGACCTCGAGTCAGCGCCATCTGGTTTCGGAAAAAGGAACTAAATCATGCACCATTTTTGGCCCTCTGGCGGCAAAAATGTGAACTAAAATCTCGACCTCGAGTCAGCGCCACCTGGTTTCGGAAAAAGGAACTAAATCATGCACCATTTTTGGCCCTCTGGCGGCAAAAATGTGAACTAAAATCTCGACCTCGAGTCAGCGCCATCTGGTTTCGGAAAAAGGAACTAAATCATGCACCATTTTTGGCCCTCTGGCGGCAAAAATGTGAACTAAAATCTCGACCTCGAGTCAGCGCCATCTGGTTTCGGAAAAAGGAACTAAATCATGCACCATTTTTGGCCCTCTGGCGGCAAAAATGTGAACTAAAATCTCGACCTCGAGTCAGCGCCATCTGATTTCGGAAAAAGGAACTAAATTTGTACAAGATTTTACTTACTTTTACTTACCTTTACTCGAACCATTTTTTGTAATATATTTATTATAAGGGTTGCAGGGGTACAAGAGATGTAGGGATATGAGGATTGCAGGCATGTAAGGGATGCGGTGATGTAATGGGTGCAGGGATTCAAAGAATTCAAGGACATAAGGGATGGAGAGATATAAAGGATGCGGTGATCTAAGGGATGAAGGGGTGTAAGCGGTACAGGGATGTAAGTGATGTAGACATGTAAGGGCTGCAGAGATGTAAGGGACGCTGGGATTTCAAAGATGTCTACATGTAAGGGATGCAGGAATATAAGAGATATAGGGCTGAGCCCCGTGGGACCCACAAAGACAAAAAAAATAATAAATAAATGTATTGAAAAATGTGAGCTGAAGCCCATGAAGAGGGATGCGATCATAAATGTTATTCCCCCTCGATGAGCTTATTTAATAAGAAAAGAAAATATATAAAGTAAATTAAATAAACTCCGGAAAAAAATTAGAGGATGATTATTACCCCGGTTGGGTGTACATACGGGCCTGATTTCATCCTGGGGTATCAGGGACACCAATGCACCGGTGGTATTCTTTGCATACCAACATTATGACATCTGGGGTGTTAAGGACCCCGAAGCATCGGTGATACTCTTTGCATACCGACATTCTGGCATCTGGGGTGCCTGGGATCCCGAAGCATAGGTGATACTCGTTGTGGCATCTGGGGTGTTAAGGACCCCGAAGCATCGGTGATACTCTTTACATACCGACATTCTGGCATCTGGGGTGCCTGGGACCCCGAAGCATCGGTGATACTATTTGCACACTGACATTCTGGCATCTGGGGTGCCTAGGACCCCGAAGCATAGGTGATACTCGTTGTGGCATCTGGGGTGTTAAGGACCCCGAAGCATCGGTGATACTCTTTACATACCGACATTCTGGCATCTGGGGTGTTAAGGACCCCAAAGCATCGGTGATACTCTTTACATACCGACATTCTAACATCTGGGGTGCCTGGGACCCCGAAGCATCGGTGATACTCATTGTGGCATCTGGGGTGTTAAGGACCCCAAAGCATCGGTGATACTCTACATACCGACATTCTGGCATCTGGGGTGTTAAGGACCCCGTAGCTTCGGCGAAACTTTATGTATACCGACATTGTGGCATGCGGGGTGTCAGGGACCCCGAAGCACCGCTGACACTGTTCTATATATATATATATATATATCGAATACAAAGTCGGTAAGTTGTCGTGTAGTTTCCCCCGTTTCTGTATAGATGGCGCTAGGATCGAATTTTAAAAGTTATGGCGGTCTTTTTAAAATACAATTTTGTCAAACGCTTATTTTGATAGTTCCTACTTTAATAATTTTTCTATCCCGTGCTGAATTTGTGATTTCTAAAAAAATGAAATTAAAAGGAGTCAAAAGTGTGTCTTTTCAGTTGTAACCTGGAGGTGTTTGAGACCCCTAAAATCATGATCCTTTAAGAACAAAGGCATGTCCAATCTTGTTGGATCTGTAGTCACTGCTAGAAATAACCTCATGTCCTATGTGAAGAATTATGTATAATGATGCTTTCGGTTTCGCGGGGTTACAACTATTTATAAAACCAGCTATTTAATCGTGCGCCATTAAAATGGTTGAACACGCACCGGCATTATACCTGAGATAATTCATTGCTGTGTCTTTCAGCATTCATTGATAATTTGAAAAGAATTTACTGAATCTATAATGGAACAAATACATTTGTGAGATCAGTGGATCTATTTTATCTTTTTTCAATCCATCCACAAGTTTAATCATGGTAATTGGCTTGTATATAATAACATATAAGATTTAAAAGCCTCTAATGAACATTTAATGTTCTTCTAAAATGAATTTAATGTTTTAGGCTCTCCTAGGAGCTCAGTTAGTTATTACTCTTATAATGGTCAGTGTTATTCAAAAATTAACTCCTCATTTTTCTCTGGCAAGATGGATTCTGTGTTCTACAGGGTATCTATTTAAGTATTAAAAACCAGTCAATCAGTAGCATAATATATAAGGTATTATTAATGAGAGTTCATAATTGTTTAACAGTTTGACACGTTATTTGTACCCAACTGATCAACAACTCAGAACACTGGCAGGTGTACCCAAAGAAAAAGTCAAGAAAAGCAAGAATATAGAAAATGGAAAGGTTGGAGATGTGTTTCATGTTCCTAGGAATTTGAATATTACACTTGAGAGTGCTAAGATAACTACATTAGATGTGGTGCATTTGAAATATTATACAGAATATCAGTGGTTATTGGACTTTTCTATTTATGCTACCGCAGTTTATATCATGACAGAGGTTGGTAATTTTATTATTTAAATAAACAAGATAATTCTCTTTGTGTCTGGATCCTCATATTTGTAATTTTTTAATCACTTAATAGCTGTACAATTATTTATATCCAATTAAAGATGAAATTAATCTAAGTATGCTTTGGTGCTCATTGGTTCTGGGTTTTGCATTGTATCCTTTGTATTATTGGCACATATTGTAAGGGTATATTGTATGTTCCAGTAATAACTTTCATATTTTGATGTGTTTACTTTCCTTAATCAATATGTAGCAAAGTATTACTTTCTCTTTGGGTACAATACTTTAAAGGAGAAGAGAGCATAGGTGAACGATCTACATGTATTGTAACTGGATTTGCTTATCTTCTTATAGCTATGATAGTTCTTATTGTTGATGAGAATAACCTTGAAATTGGATTGGACAAAGCTTATGCAAGTTTCAACCATAGTGCATCTCTTTTTTTAGATAATCAAGGTCTTTCTTCTACGTAAGTTTGTCAGATTTTGAATTTAAGTGAAAATTTACAATATCTTTAACTTTATTTGTATATTAAAGTAATTTTGTTTGTAGAGGACCTGCATCAAAAATTGTTGTCAAGTTTTTCCTTGCCTTATGGTGTGGCTTGGTTGGTTCTTTCTTTACTTTTCCAGGGTTAAGAGTGTCAAAAATGCATTGGGATGCATTGAGGTACTAATATCTGATTTACTTCTAATATATTCTTGCATTAGCAAATTAATAATAAAAAA